TAAAAAAAATATGTTGTGTAAACTCACCTATAATCCGGAATATTGAGCAGAACACAATGGTTAACAGTACGAACCACGTATTCCAAACGTGGGTGTTATTCACTGTTGCGACACCGAGAAACATGAATATAATGGTCTCAGACGAAGACGATAGCATCTTCATAGTGTATTTGATTGTGGTGTGTGATTTATGTGAAATATTCGCTTCAACATAATTCTTCATTGTAATACCGCAAAATGTTATGCTGCATAAAAAAAGAGATTTTAATTAAAATAAACTTATGTTTAATGATTATTCCTCCCGAGCCTTCTAAGAGCTCATATTGTGTTATGGTATAAAGCTAAAAAAGAGGGTGAACCAGAGAGTCAAACCGTATTAGGGGGACCACAGAAAAAAATACATGAACCAGACGTAGCCGGTCATCATGACAAAAATGTAAGGTCAGTAAGTATCAGTGTGTTAGTAACGAAATCTAAATAATATGCAAGTTTTAGAATATTTAGATAATATGCATATCGGCTTTTCCGTAGAGATGGTTTCCACTTATACATACGCCACTGGGAGCGAGTGGAATCTACGTTAATAAAAAGTTTACTGGAAAAAAGACCCACTCCCACCCACACAGTTGGACTATTTAGAAGAATATTTAGTTGTAAAAAACATCAGACCTAGACTACATTACCAAGTTTGGTAACATATAATATATACTATTTGAAAACAATGATTAGTTTACGATAAAATTTGAAAGCTCTATATATTTTAGTTCTTTTTTTCCACAAAAGAGCTAGTACACTATTGATTCAAAACGTATCAGAATTCAAGAGTAAGTACTGACGTAAAATTTTAAGACGATGTATGTATTATTGGAAAACAATAAATTCTAAATGTAAATCTTAAGAGAGGTGAATACATCTATGCCAAAATGTTAAATAATAAAATGAATATTATAAAAGAGTATTATATTATATATATTATGTAGTAACTTCAGAAACTGACACAAACAGCACGGTTTGGCTTGTTTATTGAAAAGCTAGCTAATCGGACCGACAAATATAACCCAAACGCACAAATCGAACCTACAAAATATGAAGAACTCAAACTTAATAAATTGATTATAATAATATTGATTTATCTCAACAGATTTAGCCGATTTCGTGCTTATTATTTCTGTGTGATAGTTATATCATATACAAACTAGACCGCCTTGTTACAATGAACAATTAATATTAAATATATTTTTATTTTTATTATTCTTATGTGAAAAGAAGTATGTATTCAAATGTTTCGTTTACATTTTTCATTTTCTTTTTTGCCTTTACCGCGCATTGCAGATATTAAACCAATCTTAGTAATTTAAACTTCTAGAAGAGCGAGAATTGGGTTGGGGCGGCAATTAGAGGCAAAGTTGTGTTTGGGAGTAAAGGTAATCATGTCTGATTAGGAGTTCAAGTAGTACAATTAAGAAAATTTAAAATAATAAAAACTAATTCATTCTGTCCCTTCACAATTATTAAAAATAGAAAATTCTATACCTAGGACTAATCTTTGTGTTCAAGTTCCAAGAGGTCCCAATATTAAAATACCCTAATAACATTGTTCTCAAATAAAATTTCAGTAGAATATATATGCCTGTATTTACTTCGTTTTATTTTTAGAACTTGTTAAGCGGATATCTGACATCAAGAAAAATCTAAGCAATATTACTGTATTATATTATTTTTAAATTAATTAACCTATGGTAAAAAAAAATAAGTACACAGGAAGAAGCAAGACGGAGACGGAGGGACATTTCCTAGAACCACAACCCGCGATTCCTATTTTTAGTCTTAAGCTTAAGCGACAAATTGTTAATCTAGGTCTTCTAGGTATTGTGACTAAAATGCGGCTTACACGGTCGATTTGCGGTCGCACGTTTAATCTCCACGTGATCACTGTAATCGACATATTAGGGGATCAATCACTTTACAACTTACGTAAAGAGGTAATTAAAATACGATAAATAATTTTTGAATGTGAATCGAATCAACGATTCATATCGATCTGAATGTATCAAGGAAATGCTACCAAAGTATTCTTGCATGTTTTCAGTTACATTGCCTTCCTGGCACCAGATAATCTGGATAAGTTGCGTGTTGTGGGCAAAGGTCGAACGGAGAGGACCACGTAGCTTGCTATCTCTGTGCGACGGGTTACCTATAGTCAATAATGTGGCTAGGTAACGCGGCTGTGAAAGGCAATAACGACAAGTCTGTCGCTCGATTTGTTTTGTTCGTACTTCTCAGAACTGTAGTTCATTTCGGAAGCTAATTATTTATTTTGACATTCAACGTGTATTTTGAACATTCATCTATCCAAAGACCCGTGATCGAATATTTTCGAATATTTTAAATAATGAATTATGATATTGGCTATGTGCATACATATATCTGATCAACTTTCCGATCCGATTCTCGAATAAACTGAACCGTTTCTACCAAAATTATCGTTGTTTTTGAATTTAAATTTGATGACTTCATAGTTGAGTTGATATTAAGCGGTTATTGGAGATCGAGACCATCAGGATTCCCTGACCAATATAAGATTAGAGGTGGATGTATCTGTATATAGGTATGGCTACAATTCTATTTCTTACGGGGCCTTCCTATCAAAAGGTATAATAAATGCCTGACAGAAATAGATAGGCAGGTCACTCGGCGCAAGGATCAAGCTAGATACGTTACAACATGCAATTTTTATTTAATTAATCGATATAGCGGCACTTTTTCTGTCGATTACAATTGTGAACACTCGTAAGGTGGTAATAAAAAATGTAAGTCCCCCTCTCCTGAGATCCAACAGTGTGATCAATCGCATGACCATAAATAAACACACTGGGCGTCTAACCTATTAGGCCATGAATACTTATTTTGACATAGAGTTTAAATTTTATGTACTTACGCTAATATCCCGCTCATGTGAAACATTTCCGCGTTCAAATATGCTAAATACGCCATTACGAATATGAAGATCGGCTCTATGACCCTGACTTCGTTGGTGAAGCGAGTTACGAGACCCGTCGCGAAGCCCCACACAACTCCAATACACGTTCCCCCTACTGCTACGACCAAGAACGAAGCCAGGCCGGCCAGAATATCCGTGTAGACTAGACGCGACGGTCCCATTTCCCTGAAGGTAAGATAAACGCACACATGTAAACCGTGTAAATGACATGACATTCTTCAAACAAGGCTTGCGGAAAGTATTCAATGGTGGACAGCGGTTTGGCTCTGCCCCTGGCATTGCTGATGTTCATGGGCGACGATAACCACCTACTATCAGGTTGGCCGTATTCTCCTCTGCCTACAAAAGCAATAAAACCAAATATTAAAAGCTATTCTTAGCGTTTACAGCCCAATTTATAGGAAATCTAATAAGTGCGCGATAGATTAACACATTACAAGTAATAACACTCACGTGTATGCTTCGAACATGTGATACAATACAACAGTAACGGCATCGTTAAGTAAGGATTCACCGAAAACAACGATATACAAAACTTCGTCAACGTGAATTTCTTCGAACACCGCCAATACCGCCACCGGATCCACGGCTGATATTAAAGCCCCGAACAACAGCATATCTAATAACGGTGTTGTACACCCGAACATGCCAGTCTGGCCGCAAGCCCACAATGAAGCACCTGTAAGATAAAGTACGATGAAAAACAATTGTTCTATATCTTAATTTGTGCTTTACAATACTAGTTTTTTTTTCCTACCTAAACTGAGAGCCTTGAGAGGCTATTTCAGCGTAACCTTAACTAGTAGGTGAGCTCACGGGGCTCAAACCTGACGACGTTGCTAACACGAACCCTAGCAAGAGCCGTGCTTCGCAGAATCTACCACCGGATCGGAAACGCGACCCACTGAGAAGATCCGGCGAGAAACTCAGTGGGTTGTGTTTGAGGGTTAATTTACTCGTCGAGCCCTTCGTCGCAAGTGACGGGTTCGACGAGAACGATGACCGGTGCATGAGGTACCTAGAAGCACCGTTAGTGAATCGGGAGGATCCGAAATGACCAATACTAGTGGTAGGTCGTATGATCTCTAACTACATCGGCTACTAAAAAATCATGCGTAGCGGTCTGAAGAACGTTATTCTAATGGATGTGAAACTTCGACCTAATTTCTAAAGGTCGGCGGAGGGATTTCAAAGACCTTGTAGCGTTTATAAGTTCGTGTCTCATCATCATCAGCCTATAGCAGTCCACTGCTGGACATAGGCCTCTTCAATTGCTTGCCATTCAACACGATCATCGGTTTTTCTCTCTTCATCTCATTTCTTTTCTCTTCTTGTCTATAATAACACAACATCAGGTGGCCAGTAAACTCGTCTACCTATACAAACTATTAGAATTAAGTAAAAAAAATACATACCAATAGTCAAAGTGTTGAATACAGTCCCAACAACAGCAAACAATAAAATGGTACCCAAATGATCAAAGAATAGCCTGTTTGGCATAAAATATCCCGCATCCAATATTATAGGTGGAAGCATATACAAAAAGAAGGTATCCGGTGTGAGTGGTTGAACGTGTACACTGTGAGTACTTAGAAGTAATGCACCTATCAACACACCAACGAAGACAAGGAGACATGACTCAGGTAACATTCGTGATAGTTTCGGAGCCATGTGGAACCCTGAAACAAAACTTAATATTAAACTTCTTCTAGACGTTTATCTGCTTAATATTTCCGTAGATCTTCTGAATATCTGTCAGATAAACTTCAAGTAAGTCAACAATGTACAATGTCATGTTAAATTCAAAAGTATAAAAATGGTAAATGTTTTTTTCAAAAATCTTTATATAAATATACCCTTGAGAAATATAAAAATACAAATGTAGTTGTTGTGCAGACTAAACTGTATTATGAAAGAAATTGCACAAGCAAAATCTTATACAAGTATTTATGAAATATTCGGTTCCACGCCTTTCAGCAACGTGCTCTACAAGAAGCCAATGAAAACGGAAAATGATCACGTTCTTAGTACGGCCACTTGCGGTGACTTGAGGAAAAACGTGGAAATAAAAGGCCATCCTAGATATATAACGAGTGAGGGCTATCATGGCCTCAATAAAATATCCAGTAAGAAATCAATGGTACGCTCAACTAGTACAATATTTTACGATCTAGATGAAGTAGCGAAAAGGCATTCGTTTCACTGTCTGAAAGAAAATGTTTTATCTAACAACAATATATTAAAGCTAGTGAAAAACCCAACGAATAAGAACATTCTCGGTGGAAAATCCGAAACCATCGTCCAAGATTGTGCGATGCAAGTACAACCGAATTTTAAAATTTATGACAACGCGGGTCTTAAGATTAAAAGGATTAAAAAACGTAATGACCATGACGAAATTCTATCATCTGAAATATTTTTGAGAGACGACGAGCAATTATGTAATCAGTTTAAAACACAGTGTTATTATGAGGATAATGCTCCCAATAGGAATCAAAAATTTTGGTCCTATGCAAAATATCAAACAGAAAAATCGGATGTGGTTTCAGAAGAAAAAAAATCGAAAAGAAAGGACCGCGGTAAACGCACCGAAGATCCTTGTCCTTGCCAATTATTTTCATACGCGTGTCCTTGTACCAACAAAAAGTCTCTCACTGAATTAGCAAGGAACAGCAAGTCATTAACTGTTGCAGATAACATAACAAGCACCACAAATATATTCAGGAGTGAACAAAGAAGTAGTAATAATACTAAGAAGAAGAATAAGCACAAAGTTCTTAGCGATGATAAATCAAACACACGTGGACACGTTGACAACAATAATGTTGTAACAAACGAACATATTAGTGAACTAATGAACAGAAATGATTTAAATTTGATTGTGGATAAGCCTACTGATAAGAGCCACAATAAAAGTAAATCTTCAAATAAAAAAGTGAGAAAATTGATCTGTCCAAAGTGCAAAGAAAAGGTAGAAGTTATAAGTATTACTGAAGATGAAAATGCACATAGCAGTTCGATAATCTATCACAGTAAGGAAATATCGTCTACAACTGCATACGCATACAGGGCATCGCCAACCGCACAAGAAAGTAGAATTGCAAATGATGATATATGCAACCATGAACCGCGTTGTGAGTTAGTCCCTGTATGTCAAATATTACCTTGTGATGAATATGATTGCGAACAACATAAATACAACAAACAGTCAGCGATTCCAAAGTCAACCCCTCGAGTTCTACGAATCACAAAAGCATGTAGACACCACCCTCCATGTACCGTTGTCCCTTCCTGTCAAAGGGCTACCGTATTAAAAAACAATTGCGAATTCATTCCTCCTTGCCTACACCGTCCTCGATGCATAAATCTTCCTCTTTGTGTACCCTTACCTAAAACCCCTCATCGCGAAGAATATTTACCCAAACCTACAGAAGATGATAATATTAATTACCCACATTATTCGAGATGTACGTATATCCCGATGTGTCAGCACGATTCACACAATTTGGATAAACAAATACATATGGTTTCTCGATTGCAAAACCAGTGCGAATTCATGACGGGAATTCAGCAAGCACCAACTTATTTAATTGAACCGCATCCGCAAGGCATACCGAAGAACGTATCTTCTTGTAAAAAGTCTCGGGTTCCGTGTTCTTGTAGATCGAATAAATCATGTCAGTATAATTGTATCGAATGTAAATGTCGTAATTCGCATTTGTCACCCAAGAAGAATTTAAGTAACGAGACAGTTGTATTCATCAGAGATGTGGGCTGTCAGTTCAGAAACAAAACATATTCGCCAATAGATTCAGTGATACGTTCGAAGTCATCAAGCGCGTCATTTGATTATGTAAAAATGGGGGACTACTGTACGAATATTCACACCTTGAGGTACGAAGATAAATTTACATCGCCAATATCGCGAATAGAGCTTTTTATGTCTTCGGGATCATCGTCAGATGAAATCAGTCCAGGCTGTCAGTCTAATGGCATGCATGATGAACAAAGTAGCCATAAAATTGAAAAAAGTGGTTTTAATCCCAATGCCACATATATTACAGCGTATAACACCCAAATGGAGCCTCGTTCGTGTGGAATTTTCCATACGTATTCCTCCAAATATCGTGACTGGCTATATCCTTCCCAAACGAAATCACGAAAAAGTTTCTCGAAAAACAAGAACAAAAGAATGTTTGCTGTGAAGACACGAAGAAAATCTAGGACGAGCAAACACGCTATCTGTTGTCAGTCGAAAAAAGCTGTATACCCGGAACAAAAGAGGTCTTAAATGTAAACGTCACTAAATTTGTGTTGACATAAAAAGTATTGAATAAAACGTCGTCCGATAAACTGAAAAACCTTACAAACCTTCATTCATTAAATACTGTATTTCTTACAATGTATTTATGTACAATTATTCAATTAATTGAAATACATATCCAGTTGAGGTCTTCGACGGGCCGGAATGTAGGTCAGCGGTCAAAGAAGCCCTATCTGATGTAACCTGACTTCACCAGAGTGCCTGTGCTACAGTATTCATGAAAAAAAAGTAAGCCGGAAAATTAAATTTATCCGTTCATAAACAAAACGAGGTTATTCATTCATTTATCATGATTAATGAAGTATCAATGAAATATAGGGCACTCGTATAGAGGCGTTTCAAGATAAGTACTTAACGGTAGGCAGCGGCTTGGCTCTGGCCCTAGCATTGTTGAAGTCCATGGGCGACGGTAACCACTCACCGTCAGGTGGGCCGTATGCTCGGGAAATAAAAAAGATAAATTTAATTCTAATTATATTCTCTTTAATTTTAGGTCCCTCAGACCCCTTCCCTTCGCTTCGATCCCTTTGATCGGTATAGTTTAATTTTCGAGATTCAAGATTTAGAATTTTTAGCAATGACCCCATAATTAGCTAATATGAAATCACTCTGCTATTAATAATGCTCAATAGATAGAGATACCCTCGATTGTTTTGCGAATAAACAAACAATAAACACTCACCTTCAAATTGCAATCAAAATAAATCGTTTTGTAGCTATCACGCGGATAAGTGGTACAAGGACGCTGGATTAATTATTAATTTAAAGTCTATCCTATATATACATCTACTAGACGTACATGTGTAGTTTAAGGGCGTATTGTGAGCCCACATTACTCATCCGTCCCATTTTTTTTGAAGCAGTTTACTTTCAATACTTACCATTGGGTTATTGTAACTTCGATCTTATATCTCAAGGTAGTAACGACTTAATACCATATTGGGCATAAGCATGTCTGCCATATATAGCAATAAAATACATGTAAGATGTAGTACTGAGAAAAAACCTAAAAGTCGGACGGAAAACGTAACATTAATACACGCACATACATTTATGTATATATATGGCTAACATGAATATTGGTCCTAAAGGTTTTATTTACAAAGAGTTATAAGCTATTATATAAAACGCGCTAATATTTATCAATTCTCATAATATTTAACGTATCATCGTGAAATCAAGTTTATATTTAAGAATAACATATACAACTTTTTTGCAACGTTTATAAATAATAAAACAAGAGTACTGCGGTAACCAAAGCCTTTCTTAATGTATTCAAAAATCAATTGTAGTCAGTGCAGATATACAAATTTATTTATTTAAGGATTACCGACAGGGTTTACAGTAAGACATAAAATAACATTGACATGTATAGAGCAATTGATAACTGCAACTCTAATTAGAGGTAATCACAGCATGCATTACATTAATATATCAATAGCGATTTAACAATACTATTAATAATAATAAAAAATTAAAAACAAAAGAAAGACAATAAGGACAGTAATACCCGAGTACTCAGACCAAGACAAATAAATATTGTACACGTATATGTAGATATTAGAAGTACACAGTGTGAAATAAGCTTAGAGAGGTGCTTTAACTAGATCTTACAGTGCATCTTCATCGCGGCAAACCTCTGTAAAACTCAATATATCTAGCTTGTAGATAAATATTTTGCTAACTAATACGCTCGATACAGGCCAATGAGCAGCTGTTCCAGCCCAAGGGACGTGTGTAGCAGTGTTTTGTCGTTTACGTCCCAGTGGTTTTATAATTAAAAAACAAATCGACAAATAAATTTCATGATTTGATTTTAGGTTATTGACATTCGATCTATCGAACACTACATTTTATTATACAGAGGAGTTAGTAAATTTTTCGTTTCAATTAGTGAAAATCAAACGTGTGCGCCAGACCCGAAATCTGAAGAAATTTTCAGATATTTTAGTCGGGTCTCATGGGTGATAACAACGAGCCGTGTGAGAACGGGCCGTAATTACTGGTGGTGGACGTCCTGAGAGTCTGCGCGGGCAGGTACCAGCACCCTGCCTATTTCTGCCGTGAAACAGTACCTAATGCGTTTCGGTTTGAAGCGTAGGGCAGCCGTTGTAACTATACTTGAGACCTTAGATCTTATATCTCAATATGGGTGGCGCATTTACGTTGTAGATGTCGATGGGCTACAGTAACCACTTAACACCAGGTTGGCTGTGAGCTCGTCCACCCATCTAAGCAATAAAAAAACACTAAAAACATTGGAAGATTATCTTGGCCAAAAGGTCATGGCCTCTAAGGTCATGGCTCTGTTTCACGGGATATGGAAACTCAGAAATATTAACCACTACACCAAAACTTGTACGCACTCTTGTACGTGCTCTCAATACTCTTAATTGGTTTTAAAACATGCATAATTAATACAAAAACCGCATCGGTATCGCATTGACGCCTTCGGGATGTGCTACTATTGAAAAAAGTTGAACTATCCTTGGACTAACTGTCTTTGCGGTTCACTTATTATTTCAATTATGTTTAAGTATTTGATTAATTTAAGAATGACGAAATTAACACGATTTTGTTTGCTTTGTCGGCAAATGTCCCTCCTCTAAAACTAGTGGTTGAGGAAATTGACAATTTAGCATTAATATATTTTATTGCTTTCATGGCTGGACTAGCTCACGGCCAACCTGGTGTTAGGTGGTTACCGAAAATAGGAGACATCACCAACGTGAATACCGTCACCCACCCTGAGACATGAGTTCTAAGTTCCAGTTTTACAGTATAACGGCTGGTCCGCCGTCCAAGCCGAAAGTAGTGCTTCCGGGTACTAATAGGCAGGGTGGTGGTAGCTACCCGTGCGGGCTCAGAAGACGCCCTACGCCAGTAATTACGCGGATTATTTGCGAGTTTGATTTTTATTACACAATAAGTATTATTCCTTCACCGTGAAAGTAAATTGTAACATTAGGATACGAATGCATCGGGCATCTTATACCTTACGCCACGACGACCTATAAATACTTAGGATAATGTAAAGTAATGTATGATAATGTAATGTAAATCTATATATTAATACGTGCATACTATTTATTTATTTATTGTCAAACTTTTGTTCTTGACGTCTGTGGTCAAACTGAGAATAGATTAAATATTGTTTGTCTTTATTAATATTTTTCTATATAATAGTGTAGTCTTGGCGAAATTTGTGATTATAGAAGTAAGTATTAGAAGTCTTTGAAAATAGAATCATAATAGTGTACAAACTTATAATTTCAATTAATTATAGTCGAATTTCGACTACCGGGCGACCACTAGTGTAATATAAATGCATAATAATGTATGGATAAGATCATTACTATGTTAAAATTCAACACTGTGATTGACGCAGCCGGAAAGATGAAGTAGTCGCGACGAGAAGAAAAAAATAACCTTTACTTAGACTAACAGCGTTACAGCCTAATGGGTNCTCTGGAATTCGTTGCCATCAGCGGTCTTCCCCAACAACTGCGACATTGGGTTATTCAAGAAAAGAGCATATTCTTATCTGAAGGGTAGGCAACGCACTGGCGTAAACGCTGGTGACCGTGGGCGGCGGTGAATCACTTACCATCAGGTGACCCGTCTTGCTCGTTTGCCTCTCAGTTGTTATAAAAAAAAAAAAAAAAAAAAAAAAAAAAGATGAAGTAGTCGCGACGAGAGGAAAAAAATAAACTTTACTTAGACTAACAGCGTTACAGTCTTAATGGGTTCATCCTTAACATAATATGTGAAAATGCAACGTTAGAAGATACCGAAAGCCTTCAAAATCAAAACACAATGCTGCTTATTTTTCTAAGGCTTCCTTTGAAAACACCACAAAATAATACCTTTACATTTCGTATAATGTGTCTTCATAATTAACTGCTTACTTATTTTAGGGGGATAATAAATAGGTACAACATAACGTATAAAACGCAGGATTTATAAGTTTTAAAAGTATGTCGTAGCTTGAATGCAAAGTAATTAGTAACTATCCCTAGAAAACACATAGCTTATCACGAAAATTACAATTTTTTCAAGTGTGGCACATTATCTGACGGGAGGTACACAAAATAATAACATAATTATGAAATAGGTTCGAATTTTCAATTAACCCTTCCACAAAAGCTTTTTCTATTGAACAAATGTTGTACATCTACGTTGTCGAACTATAATTATTTACTCGGTATTTAATCGTGAATTTGCATATTTTCACTTTGCGTTATCGTACACTTGATTTGACCAGTTTTTTATGGTTAAAACTCACCTATCTTCGCGAGACTGGCAAAAAATATCCAAAGTCCGATCAGAAATGGCGTCTCCACTCGATGGAACTCAAACGCCGCTATCACGAAGGTCCTCTCCTTCTTGGTCTTCTCAGTTGTCGGTAATTCAGTTGTAGTGTCTTGGTTCTGGCGTAGCTGTGTGCCTGGTGGCTCTCCGGGTAAGGGCTCCACAGGACCCATTGGTCCGAACCCTAGACCAGGGTACGTCGATATACCATCGACTGTCATGGACGGATTCGTTTTCGTGGTAGTCTGTGGAATTTAAGTTTGTTTAAAATTTCGCTGTACACGAATCTAAAGAACATGTGCTGAGACATACATTTGATGTGCTTATTGCGAGTTTTTTAACTTCTCGATCGCGTAAAAGCTAACTCAAATTTGTATCGATTTGGAACAGCGCCCCTAGCGGCAAACGAAGGGCTGCTGTTCCAACTCCATATAAATTTGAGTTAACTTTTACGCGATCGGGAAGTAAAAAACACGCACTAAGGACACAGATAGCTTGCTTTTTATGAAGTCACTAGTAGCAAGCCGGTCACGCTTTACTGTGACTTTAGAGTGTGTGCTTAACATCGATTTTATGAAATTACCTACGCATCCCCTGTCGTGCGTTGATGACCCTATTAGGGAAACATTTCCCGGAGTGCCAACAAACAGCAACTGTACAAAGTTTCATCATAATCGGATAAATAGTTTACGATCGTT